TCGTGAGGTGCCAGCCGCACGAGGGGCGCCACGGGGGGGGTGGCTCGGGCAGACAGCGCAGGTGAGAGGGATGGGAGGAAGGGGAGAGGCTCGCTTGCTCAACGTCGGCGTGGGAGTGGTCTGCGCTGGTCCAAGAGGAGAGAGGATGGAGCGAGGAGAGAGGAGGGAGGATCGGAAGTGGATGTTTTCTTTTTTGTTATTTCCTGCCGTGCCTCTGGAAACGCCTGGAGACATCTGAGGGAGTGGCAGTGGTCCGCGCTGGTCCAAGAAGAGAGAGAGGATGGAGGAGGGAGAGAGGATATATCGGAAACCGAGCTTTACCCAACGTCTGGTCCTGGTTTTGAAGAGACAGCGCCCCGCGTCCTCGTCCCTCCTCCCATCCCTGTCTCTGCCATCTCCATAGGGGGTTTTACCCAAGACCCAAATGGTGACGCCCGCATGCGTCCCCGCCACCCATGTCGGCACGCCCCTCACACTTTTCGTGGCCCACAGGGAGCTCCACCCAAGGCCCCAGGTGGTGCTGTCCGCACGCGTCCCCAACACTCATGTCAGCACACCCCTCACACGCGTCATGGCCCCAGGGAGCTCCACCCAGGGCCCACACTGTGCTGCCCGCACGCGTGCCCGCCATTCATGCCGGCACACCCCTCACAGGTTTTGTGGCCCCATAGGGAGCTCCACCCAAGGCCCAAATGGTGCCGCCCGCATGCGTTCCCGCCGCTCATTTCACACACTTCGTGGCCCCATAAGGAGCTCCACCCAAGGCCCAACTGGTGCCGTCCGCATCTCCGCAAACCATGTCGGCACATCCCTCACGCGTTTCGTGGCCCCTTAAAAGTTGTCTCCACTCAAGGCCCGAATGGTGCCGCCCGCATGCGTCCCCGTCACCCATATCGGCACACCTCTCACACTTTTCGTGGCCCCTTAGGGAGCTCCACCCCAGGCCCCACGTGGTACCGTCCGCACGCGTCCCCGCCGCCCACACATTTTTTCGTCGGCGGCGAGGCGGGGCAATGCGCACCAGCGACAGAGCGAAGCATGGGCACTACTAAGCTAATTGTCCGGTGTGCAAGAGCTGAAGGAGGACAAAGGGGCCGCGGGCGGAAGGGAAGAAACAGGCGCTCAGAGGCGGAAGAATTCCACCATGAGCAGGCCAGGGCGGCAGCAGCGGCGCAGCGGCGGCGACCGGGGGACCTGGGAGCCGGCGCTGGGCGGGCCAGGGCCGGAGGCGCGTGGCAAGGCAAGGGGAAGCAGTGCGAAACTACACGCGCCCAGGGACAGCCGCAAGCAAAATGCTGTCAATCATTGTTCGTCAAATCGTGCGATGCCAAACGCACTCGTGCATCTGCGAAGCCAGCAGCTCGGCAGGGCGTCCGGGGCGCGAGCGCCAGCAGCTCGGCAGGGGCAGCTCGGCGAAGCCAGCAGCTCGGCAGGGGCAGCAGCCGAGCCAGGGGCGCGGCTGCGAGCGCCTCATGGGGCGGGGCAGCGGCAAGGGGAGCAGGCGGCCGGGGCGCGGGCCACCAGGGCAGAGACGGCCGTCCCTATATGAGCGAAACCAATGCGGCGACTAAGGATGCCAGGCCCGAAGGCGGACTGCACCACGGAGTGGGGCCAGTCCGGGAAGCGGGGGGCGCGGGGGCGGGCGCCGGGGGGGCGCCAGCTGCCGCGCTGCGATGGGGCGCGAGGCGGCGGGGTGAGGAGGGGGGCGGCAGCGGGGTGCGGCAGGAGAGCCGCGCCGAGGCAGCACGCACCTGATCGGTGCAGCAGGTCAGGGGAAACAGGGTCACGTACCGCCCCGACGGACAGCGCGCGACCCAGGCAGCGAGCCGCACGGCGCGGAGGCGCGCGGTGGCGGGGGGGGCGGAGGCGGCGGGCGAAGGCAGCAGGGGAGCTGCGGCGGCGGGCGAGGGGAAGCCAGGTACGCCGCCGAGCGCGAGAGCCAGGTGCGCCACATGTGAGGCTCAGGGCGAGCCACCTCACATGGTGCCTGGGGCCGCAGCACTCCCAGGCGCGCGTCCCAGGGAGGGAAGTCGCGCGAACAGGGGGCCCGCCACGCCAGCAGCACAAGTTGCGGCCAGCCAACAGCCGAAGTGAAGGGGCTCACCTGGTGGCCCGCACGCAGCACCGTACATCTGGCCCCCGCAGGCGCTGTAGTGGACATCGGGTCGGGCTAGCGAAGCGCATCGGTCGAGCCTGGCCCTCATGCTCAAGAAGGGCCGCGTGCGCTGGCGTGGTCACGGCTGCGCGCAGTTGATCAGCGTGCTCTGGGCCCAGGCAGCGTAGAGGTCACGGTCGCCCTCCGACTCGACTTGGGCGTTTTGATTTCTGACGTCGCCGTCCTCACAAGGTGGGGCCCGCTGGTCTCTGTCACTGCCATCGCCGCCCGAGCCGCTGAGCGTGGCAGTAATTCGTGGAGACAGGACCCCTCGGCCTTCGGGGCGGTCTGGAGGGGCCGCCTCGGGACAGGAGGGCTGTCCAGGTGCAGATTCGCCTTGAGCGCCCTGGTTTCTGACGCCGCCGTCGTTGCCAAATGAGATCCGCTGGTTTGCGTCGCCGCCGTCGCCGCCCGAGCCCCTGCGCGTGGCAGCCACTTGCGGAGAAGGGCCCCCTGGTCGTCGGGGCGGCCTGGGGGGGCCACCTCGGGCCTGGAGGGCTGTCCAGGTGCAGGCTCGACTGGAGCGCTCTGGTTTCTTACGTCGTCGTCTCCGCCAGGTGATGCCCGCTGGTTTCTGCCGCCGTAATTGCCGCCCGAGCCACTGAGCGTGGCACTCGCCTGTTGAGAGAAGATCCTTAGGCCCTCGGGGCGGCCCGGGGGGGCGCGCTCGGGACCGGAGGGCTGCCCAGGAGCCGCGACCAGGCCGATGCCCCCCATCAGCCCCTGGCGGAGCCGGCGTGGGCAGAGGGCCGCCAGGTTCTCATCCGCCCTCCTCCTCTCCTGACCAGGGCCGCTGATCGCGGCGCGGACTTGGAGTGGGGTCGCGGCGCGCCTCCAGATGCCTGCCAGGGTTTCTGACGCCGCCGCGTCCGGGTACCCCGCCGCCGTCTGGGTCTTCAGGCACCGTCGCCGTCGCCGCCGCAGTCAGGGGATGGCGGGCGGATGTGAGCGAGACGGGCTTGACTGGCCAGGCGACGGAGTGCCACTGTCCGCCGCTCCGCCCGCCTCTTTATCCCAGGAACGCGGTGCCCCACCAGCCTGCTGGCCCAGCCCCCCGGCCACCGGGCGCAGCGGCAGCCCGAGACGCTTTCCAGGCAGCGGCGGCCGCGCGAGCCATCGGCGCGCAATGCTGCGGCGGCCTCCGGGCAGGCGGCCGCGCTTGGGAGAATCGCGTAGACGTGGCCGTGTGTGGCCCGCGCGCGATCCCAGGCGCCAGGATACACGCCAGTGGCGACGTCTGAGGCCAAGCCGTGCAGACTGCAGGTCACTTCGGCCTCGTGGCGCGTGGTCGCCAGTGCCCAGGGGGCGCAGTTGGGCTCGGGCCGTGCCTGGCCGAGGGCGACGAGGAGCGCGCGGGATCGCGCGCGGCAATGGGAGGGGATGGGTCCTCATCGCCAGGGTCCCCCTCCGCGTTGGCCCCGCCCAGGTTGGGCCTGTCGGGAGTAGCGCGTTTCCACGGCTCAGGAGCGCCAGTGCCAGGGGCGCTGGCCGGCGCACTTCCAGTGGGCTGCGTTTTTCGCAGCGGGCCCGCAGCGTGGCGACGCGGCTCAGAGGCGTGCCGGGGGGAGGGGGGTCCGAGGCAGCGGCATCACGATTGCTGCGATCTGGCTCTGAGCTGGTGTCCTGGCTGGGATCACTGGGGCCTGCAGATCGGGCCCGGGAGCGAGCTGCGGAGCGAGGTGCGAGCCCCCTGGGGCTGGGGGCGGGGCCGGGGCGCGGGGCCGGCCCATGGGAGGCCGTCGGGGGGGGGGGGGCAGGGTTCGACTCGACTCGTCGATCGTTTCGGAGCTTCGCTCGACGTGGGCGCCGATCCTCGCGCCGTCATTCCCGCGATCCCTGCTGCTTTCGCCGCTCGGGTCGACTCGAGCGCCAGGGCCTCCCGCTGCGCCGCCCCGCGCGCGGGGCCGAGCCGCTGCCTCGCCCAGAGGCCTTCAAGACGGCCCCAAGAGGCCTCCAAGAGGTCCTCCAGGAGGGCCCGAAGAGGCCAACATTATTGATTTACCTTCGGTTTTTGAAGGATGTTAGCATTCGCTTCTTCTCGGCTTTCCGGAGACCCAAGACGGCCCAAGAGGCCCCCAAGATCGCCCCCACAGCGCCCAAGAGGCCTGCAAGATTGCCTCAGGACTGCCCAAGAGGCCCCCAAGACGGCCCCAAGAGGGCACAACGACGACCCAAGAGGCCTCCAATACGCCCAAGATGGCCTCTGAGACGGCCCTGGAGCACCCCAAAAAGGGCCTCAAGTCGGCCCAGAAAAAAGGCCTCCCAAACGGCTTCAGACGGCGTCAGACGGGCCAGGAGCCCACCACGATAGCCGAAGTTGGTTCGAAGCTGTCCCAAGACGGCCTCCAAGAGCGCCTCCAGGAAGGCCAGAAAAGGTCAAAAGCACAGATGTTCCACAGGTTTTTGAAGGATTTTGGCATTTGCGTCGCTTCGGCCTTCCGACGGCCCGATACGGCCCAAGAGCCCCCAATGATCGCCAAAGAGGCCTCCAAGATGGCCCCAGAACGGCCCAAGAGGCCCCCGAGACGGCCCCTCCCCCCCTCCCTCTCGCGCGAGCGAAGTTCCTTACGAGTTGCTTATATGTTACTTGTGTTTGTTGATGTTCTTAGCTGATAAGAAAGCGTTTTATATACTTATTGATTATTGTAGCCCCCCTTGCCAAATCGTAAAACATGTTACACGTTCCGTAAGTATAGTTACGCGGCAAGACAGACATTTACGATGCATGGCGAAGACTTACGATGCTTACGATATTTATATTTGGTTAGAAGCATATTACACCCATCTATATGCAGGGTGTAAGTAGCATAAGTAGCACGAGCCTCCAAGAAGGGGCGCGCTCGAG